CTTGGGCAAAATTAGGTAATTCCGGCCCTGCCGATCATGATTCCGAAGTATTCCGACCCGGAATTTTGGGGATCCCCCTGTATGAGTTTTTACAATTGTTACAATTTACTGCTAGCCAATAAATCAATTGATTTTATACTAGACTATTCATGTCACACCGTATGAAACCCCAGATTTAGAACGGTCTCCAATCCTTTAATGTATATGTTGTAAGTAGAAACGGAATCTAAGTGAATTTGGAAGTTTTTTCATATGATCACTCTTATCCTAGGAAATTCCAAATCCACTTAAATTCCGTTCCTATTTACAACATATCGATATACATTGTAATACAATGACTATCATAACGATAATGACAAATGAAAATTAAAAATAGTTTAGCGTTAATGCTTAATGCCAATTATCGTTATTCTTTTAATAAAACGTATGCAGGGCAGGTTCAGCATTAAGTTTATCGCTATTTTTTACGTATGCAATAACACCAGGAGTTATTTCTGGAAAACCCGACATTTGGATTCTATTTAGCATTGCATCACATTTAGTTAAGTATTTGGAACGACTATTGATCCTTTTTCCATATATTATGTGAAGGTGATTCGAATCATATGCGTGATTTATCGGTGATGCAAAAGTAATGATAATGAATATAATTTATCAATAAATTTTATTCTGTTCAGTAAATTATACAATACTATTCGATTTACCTTCGATAAGATGGTTTAAAATGTGATAGTGATAAAAAATTTTACTAGCTAAAATGAATTTAGCAGGTAATTGAACATCCAACTTTACTTTAATGGTTAGTCTTAGCCACAAATCATCGTTAATGTTGGAAAATTCGTGCAAATTAAAATATAAGTGACATGTAATTCTGGAAGCATTATTGAAAACGTATGTGCCAGTAAAACGATGTGAGATATAGATTGTTTATTTTATATATTATCGTTATCGAATTTCGTATAAGCCACTAATGTATCATAACTTTAAAACTATATATATACGTACGTATCAATATAAATATTTATTTTTTTAAGACGTAGTACCGGTGCATAATAGGAAACGATTCTCAATTGAAATTATTTCTAGTTTACAAAAGGTTTGAAATCAAAAATTTCTTTTACCGTTACGAATTAACGAATAAACTTGTTATATACAAGAATATTGCAATATCTACACGTGTTTTCGAATAACGATAACGGGTAGGCCATCTTTTTTTTTTTTTATCCCATATAGTAAGCAATGATGTAACTTTTTCTTTATATTTGCATATTTTATATAATAACAGCATTTTGAAGCAAGTTAATTGATATATATTGAAAAAAAATCAAAAGATGGCAACGGTTGCCCAGTTAAAATTTGATAATTCATTTTGGTCTCCTAACGGTTATGGAGTTGGAATTAAGATTTTATATGATAAACTTGAACAAGGTCGTGTAGAAAATGAAGAAATCGTTGATTTTTTAAGGGTCAGAATAGATTTCCTTCGATTTTTTCTTTAAAATCATGGATACTATTTCTTTAACTCTTTATATACATACACATATATCAAAACTCTCCATTTATTTATAGGAAAGGATTAGAATAGAAGAATTATATGGAAAACAATTGTTTGATTTATCCAAGATGGAAAGCTACGAAGATGGGTTCTTACGTGATGATGGTGCTTCCCTACGACGTGCATTTGATAACGTTAAGAATGAATGTGAACAATTAGGGCGAGCACATTTACAACTTGCTAGTAGCATGTACGAAATGGTTCTTATGCCTCTGATTAAATATGGTGATGAACATAGCAAACGCCTTAAAGCAAGTCAGGATGAGATATCAAGTTATCTAAAAATATTTAATAAATTGGCTAATGATGTAGAAAGGTTGCGAAAGAATTATGAGTCAAAATGTCAATTTGCTGACGAAATGGAGGAGATATCTATTCGTGGGGTGGAGAAAGCAGATTCATTACCTGTCGTTATTGGTGGTCTGGCTTTCTCCGAAAATGATCTAAGAAATTATCTTGCGCGAATGCGTGAAGAAATTCCTTCTCAACAAATTAAATTTCCCATTCTGGGTGTCTATAATGATGCATATAGTGGCAAAGATATTGCTAAATGGTTGGAAAGCAATTATGCTGGTGCACGCAGATGGAGAGAGATTGAAATTATTGGCCAAGAACTAATTGACCAAGGATTCATTAAACTCGTTGGTATGATTGGCAATACATTTTCTACAAGTCCTGGAAGTTATTATCAGTTCAAGAAAAAATCTTATGATACCAAAGAAAATGATGAAACCTTCGCTCTTGGATCAACTTTGAGTGGTATTGTTTCAACTATCACTCCGAGTCAACCTTCAGAAAAAAATGCACGAAAAGACGCTGATGAATCGGATGATATATATCGTCACACCGCTAGAAAGTAAATGTCTCTTCCCTTTTATTTAACGTCTATGTAGAATACATATTTAAACATGTTGAACTTTTTATCTAACAGATTAGATAGAACTCGTCTTTTTCTCGAAGAAACTATGGTACGTTCTTTGTAATACATTATCTGATAATCAACATTTCTATATTCCATACATTGATCAGCATTTATATTGCAGATGGATCATATGAACTGTTTGGAAAAAAGTGAACTTGATCGTATCAAATGTTCAAAAGCAGGTACAATACCTGGTGTAATTAGGGTCCGGAATCGGAGCCCGTACGATTTTTGAATTTTTTGATGGCTGTAAAAATGGTGTTCCACAATTGTGCATAAGCTGAAATCAGTATGTATAATTAGTATGATAATCCCACCTTCAGCGGCGTGGGCCCGATTCCACCTAACTTTAAAGACCTCCGCCGAAAGTGGTTTATCATACAAATTACACATACTGATTTCGGCTTATGCACAATTGTGGACCCGATTCCGGACCCTAGGTGTAATTATTATGGATACTTATAACAATTGTAATATCTGATTTACTTATCAATCTCATTGAATTAGCTTTCCTTAATTATGCTACCACTTTCGGCAGTGTCATCTCTGCCACTCAACATATGTCTGAACGTCTACTATTATATAACGAAGCATTAAAGCCTGAGCAAGATATCCAATTCATGATAGAACAATATCGCACCGGTCCATTTATTCCTCGTGTTATACTATACAGGAATAAATACAACGGAAGTGCTAACGGTATTTAAACATACCTTGCTTTGAATTTTAATCATAAAATTATAAACATAAGTATCCCTTTTTAACTTAAAACATGCTAATTTATATTTCTACATTTATAAATCTAATATTAAAGATCAAACTTTTGGAGTTCCTCTTGACAAGAAAACCAAAAAAGATTTGAAACCTGTGCCACAAATTGTGACAAAGATTCTTAGTTGTATTAAAAAAGGTGGGGTTTTTTTATGAGGTTTTTTATACAGTTTAGTATTTCTAATATTGGTTTTCTATTATGCTTATAGGAACATCTTGTTGGAATGAAACTGGTGATTTTTGTACTGGACTTATTATTGCAAATTTTGGTTATCAATGTCTAATTTTATATTTAATGCAATGTAGACAAAAGACTTCTATGGATAACAAATGTACCTTTGACCAAAACACATTCTCTTCGTGATGAAATTAACGATGGTACATGCATAACTTTTATCGGCATTGTTTTACCTTTTCATTCTTTATTCATCGGTTTTACTAATCTAGGTGGAAAAATTAACATGAAAAAGTTGAGAGAGCATGACCTGACGACCGTTGCAGGGGTATTGAAATTATATTTCATGGAATTGCCAGAGTGCCTACTTACTTTTGAACTATACGAGCCTGTTAGGATATTGTATTCTATTAGTGAGCAAATTTTTTTACACTATCTTGTTTTTCAAATCATTTATCATATGTATTTTTAAACGTTAAAATTTCAACAAGGTTCCGATGATCAAGACGAGAACACACGAATAACATCCGTCGCAAATTTGCTAATTACGTCTCTTCCTGATGTAAATTATGCCACCTTGAATACATTCATCTCACATTTGCATCGGTACGTGAGCTCCAAATTTGTTATTGTTCATTATATTACACTAATTATAAATATATTTTACCTTCTATTTGATACAGTCTAATAAAATCTACAAACGCAGATGATGAATATATTACAGCTTTATCCCAAACTCTAGGTATAATTTTATTAAGACCACAGACTGAAACATCTATATTTCTTCACGATAAACATCCTCAACGATTGGTTAAGGACCTTATAGTTCATTATGAAACAATTTTCAAAAGTTCAAACAATAAATTTATTAGACATTCAGGAAGTCGTGATTCAATGCAGTCCTCGCGCTCCAGTAGATCTAATCATACAAGAGAAAGTTCTGGTACAATCACAGCTAATGGAGTTAGGGATGGCATATCTTCAGTACCCTCAAGTCGTAGGGAGAGCACATCAACTGTTGTTCCAGCTAGATCAAACGGAACGAATTCTGTGATCTCAATTTTAGAAAAATCGATTCAAGAAGTTAACGATAAATTAAATTCGTCTGTAAAAGAAAACATATCAATGGAAAGCATATCTCAAGCTATTCCTAACGAATCTATAAATCGTAATGATGAGTCTCATATAACATCTCATACCAATTTGGAATCAGAAACATCAATGCAATTGTCACGTGCAAATTTAGCGAAGCTTAACATGTCTATGAACAATGATGCTCTTGCTTATAGTTCCAATATTTCAGAAACTTCTGTATCAGTATCACCAAGTGTTATGTCTAACCATAGTCAAAACGGATTAACTAATAAGAAAAATCCGGTAGCATCTCGTCCTAGTGCTCGCTCGAGTTCCACAAAGGAGAGTGCCAACACATCAGCTGATGGGCTGTGCCGACGACCAGAAGTTCGGCGAAATTCTCGCCTTTCACGTACAAATTCTATTAAAGCAAGAATTCGCAATAGCGATCCAGGGTCATCCAATGAAAATAGATCTGGAGAAGAAAGGTTATCAGATTCAGAAGATTCACCTGTTTATCCAACTTTCCCATCAAATTTTCGATCTATCTCTCGATCTAGTTCTCTATCTGATTCTCGACCTAATTCTCAACCTAATTCTCGACCGAGACCGAGTTCAGAACAATATATACAGAAACAAAGATTTCCCACTGACGATGATATGCACCAAATTCCTATCGGTTCAAACGGTAGTTAATACAGCTCTATTTAATGGTTTTTTGTTATCATTTGTTATTCCTAAATTTAGCTATAAAAAAATGCTTTGATTTAATTTTTAAAAAAGCTAAATAAAAATTTTTTAATACTATTTAATAATAAGAATTATGTTTTAGTAAAATTTATGTTTAAATTATAAGATAAAAAATTTAAGTTGTATATATGGCTAGGTGCTGGAAAAGGAACGAAATTGTGCATTTTTTTCAAATGTAATTTTTTTGAATAAATCGATTTAGAATAAGATTAGGATCATTTTTTAATTAAGATACTAAAGTAGTTACAATAATAAAATTTTGTAGTATAGCTCTTTAAAATTGGTATTTCTTATGATTTATTATAAGATTTATAACATAAAAATTGATTTTCTGATATTTTTTTGTCAAATTTTGTCTCTTTTCTTAGCACCTAGCCCATATATATCCAAATTTGATTTTTTAAAAAAAAATTAAAAAATAAGGCCATACAAACAACAGGAGGAACTGTCAATATTACACGACTGATTCGTCACCGGTGTGCAACATATAAAAAAATTATTTTACAATACCAGATCATTCCGCCAGTATATGTTATGATTATAATCCAACACCATTTTTATTATAATAAAATGGTGTGTTGTATTATAATCATAACATGTACTAGCGGAATGATCTGGTATTGAAAAATATCTTTTTTATATGTTGCCCGCCGGGCGGTAATGATACAAATTGAAAATCGAAAAATCGATTAGTTGTCAACTAAGGTCACAAATTTAATATCTTGGTTTTCATAACATGAAATTTTTGATCAGACCCGGCCGGCCGGTTTTTTTTTAATTTTTCATATAAAAATTTTATAAAATTTTTGAAAATTTTTTTTTAAAAACCCACTTGGTTATTAAAACATAAAAAAATTTTTTTATAAACTTTTAAATTTTGACCTGACCGGGTTATGTATGATCTAATCAACAAATCGATTGGAAAATTTTGAAAAAAACAATTTATCAATTGAAAAATTTTGACAAAATAATCAATTAAAATTGATAAATCATTTAGTTGACAACTAATTGATTGAAAATTTTTGAATTTGTCATCTAATCAATTGAAAATTTTTTAGACAATTTTATATTTGAGAAGTGAACAGGTTGATGGTAATGATTAAAGATGTTATTGATGGTCTGAGTAGGATGTGTTATAAAAGTAATACATCTTTTATCAGTAATCTAATTGATTTGTTATTGAAGTAAAAGAGAGTTTTTAAGATGAGTAAAAGAGAGTTTTTAAGATGAGTAAAAGAGAGCTTTTAAGATGATGAACATGATAGAGTTGTTGTCAAATAGATTAAGTATGTTGAAATTATGGTTGAATACAAGAAAGATTAATTAAATTAAATAATTAAAAATAACATTGTAATTGTTTTTTTACAAAAACATGTCAAATAGTAATTAAATAATAACTAAATAGTAAAAAAATTATATATATATTACAAATATTTAGTTAAAAATTAAATATAATTTTATAACTTATTTGTTAATTTATAGTTACTATATATTAAGATAATAATAAAATTTTAGACTATAAAGTGATTGCTCAAAATAAAGTTGAAACCAGTTGGCACCTAATAATTTGAATTAAAATCTTGAAAAGTTTTAGTTATTAATTTTTTTGTGATCAGATATTTAGTATTCTGAGGTTCTCAATATACTAGTCATGAAAAAAATACCAAATATAGTATTGGTAAGTATTATATATTTATAGTACATATAAATTGTTTTATCTTAAAAGATCACTTATATATTATTTCTTTTTTTTAACCTTAAAATAGAACAGATTTCATCACATATCAAAAAAGGTACTAAGGTTTCTGCTTTGGGTTCTGTTATAAATAAAAATATTATATATTTATTTTTGAATAAATTATGAAAGACCAAGCAAACTTTTAGCAACAGTTTTCTAAATAGCATCAAGCAAAAACCAATTAGTAATTTCTTTAGATTTACAATAAAAGAAAGAAATAGATATTGTAGCAAGTTATATAAAGTTTATAGATTTTTTTACAAATAAGATAAGTACTATCCTAATATGAATAGTAATTTAGAAGAGACAAGTAGTAGTAAAACAAATATTTCTAATAGTAGCAATAATGATAATGATCAAAATAAGAATAATAAAATAATAAATGTTAGTAATCTTATTCAATAAAAAGATAAATTGTTACTATTATTGGTCCTAAGGTTGAGGGTAATGATCTGGTACATCTGAGATAACCAGTGATATTAACACAGGTTACAGGTTCAGAGGGTTTAAAGTGGAACACCCAAGCAGGAGTGTTAGATATGGCAATTGGTGATGAACCTTTGGGCAGACTCCTTAAATAGGTAATATAGAAAGTTACACATGTAGCTAATTGTACACTTTCCTGTAGTGGTTCATTGAACCACAATACCGATAAGTGATTAATAAAAGTCAAAAGACCAAAGAGGTCACTTTAATAAAAAAAATATATATATATATAAAAAATAAAAAAAAAATAAAAATAAAAAAATAAAAAAATAAAAAATAAAATAAATATTCATAGATAAATAGATTTTTAATTAGTATATAAATATTACCATTTTCCTAATATATGAGAAATGTAATTATGTAATATTTGATAAATTTCTAAGTTCTTATAAATATCTGCAAATTCTCTAAATATTCATGAATTTTTTATGAATATTTATTTAAAATATATATATTGATATTTATTCATGAATTCTTATAATTCACGAATTCTTATTTAAAATTATATGTGCAATATGTATCTAATTTTGATCTTGAATTTTTTTTTGTCAGTAATTATTTTTACTAACAATCTATTTAGCTAACATTTTGTCAAGTGATAATTTACTAACAATAAAGTCTATATATAACTAATAATATGCTAAACTGTAATGTTAGCTTAATAAGCTATCAGTAAAGTAAGAAGAACTGTTTTTATATTGTTTATTGTAAATCTTTATCGAAAGTTTATAAGATATAATAGGCAGCATTCACAATTTACGTTAAACTAGTACTATATTGTATAAAATAAGAATCTTGAAAATAATGCTATATAGTATTATGTTTGTTTTATTAAGTTCATTCAGATAAAATTATATATATAGTTAAATTGTAATAGTAATCTAGCCAGGTCTAGTTTTTCTTAAAAATTGTTACAAAATTTGAATATTTTGTATTATTAGTTTAAAAATTTTTATTTTTTTATTTTTTTATTTTTTTTGTATTAAACTAGCTTCTTTTGGGGCTAGGGCTTTTTATTCAGTATAGTTAGGATATAGGGACTCACAGCCAAGGCCTTAAAGGAGTTACTTTACATTAGAGAGTACAACTAGTCACACATACACTTTTGGTGTCTAATTAAGTAGTCTGCCAATGGTTTTACACTAGCTGCCATACCTGCAACTCAACTAGAGGTGTTGCCTATTTAAATCCTCTGTACTGCAACTCTTACTGTATCACTAGATCATCTTTGCTATGTAAGTCAGTCAAGAAGGTCTAGATGCTTACTCGTATCTTTAGGACCCTGTACCTTATTTCATGCAGTGTATCCTCAGAAGCATTATTACTAGAGCCTTTCATGTCTCACATACAGCTAACCTAGTTTTATATAACATGCTATAGTTACCTAACACTTGCAGTTAGGGCTAACCTTAAACCGCTACATTATACTATTTCTATCCTTGTAAAGTTCATCCAAACCCTGGTATCTATCTTTTTGATATCTTTTTCATCATTCCCTACTAGCCACAACTCAGAACTGTTAGTCTCATTTCAGACTACCAATCCAGATGGCCCGGTATAGTATATCTTAGTATCCTTTTCCTCTGGCGAATCCAGTGGCCTGGTTGGTTATATGCTCTTCTACACATCTTGACATCTAGTTTTAATCTTCGGTTCCTATGAAGATGTTTTGTAGGCTTCTATAAGTCTGACAGCATCGTCGAAAGTTTATGCTACCTCTTTACTCAGGAATTTTCAAATAGGATTCCATCTCCTCGGTTCTTTAGTCTTCTATGCCCAGTGGTCTTATCGTGGGTTTGCACCAAAGTCTTATGCAACACTGGTTATTAACATTTCTCTATGTATATATACCGTATAATGTTACACTTCTCATAGATGCCCCGAGCTCCCAATGTCAGTAGGACCCCGATTTGGTATACCTGGGTTATAGCCACATGAGGCCAACTGATCAACAGTAGACAGTTTCTGCATCGCAGATATAATTTCCAAATTTCGTCGTAAGTAGGATTTGAACCTTAGACCTGCCACTTAGAAGATGACAACCCAACCATTACACTAGGATCATCATCCTATGTTCAAAAATTTTTCTTATCAATCTATATTATTATCAGTATTGGCAGCAATAGATGAATAGAACAATAGAATAGAGCAATAGAATTTAGAATAGAATATAAATTTCATCAATAGAACAAAAAATTGCTAACAAAATTATAATTAGATATTAATATAGCAATAAATAAATAGAACAATAGAACAATAGAATAGAGCAATAGAATTTAAAATA